GCACTTCAGATTTTCTTTATGATCAAGAGCACATGTTTCATTCCACTCCAAGGATGGGAACGAACTCGAGTTTCCACAAGTAACTTCACGATTTTAAGTCAGATGGAAGTCGACTTGAAGTGCTTTCCATGTAACGTGACGTACGGGCAGGTGGTAAAGACAGTCCTCCACATCACTTCAGTTCTGTGGCTCTTCTTCACGATCATCCACCCAACCACAGAAAGCTTAGAGCCCCCCATGCCTTGGCCACAACAGGAGCCAGGTGGGTGGCAGAGGTGGGGTCAGGGCCAGGCGGTAGTTGGCCACAGCAACACAGTGGGATGGGAGGTCCCCAAGAAACACATCAGGTTCTTTCTGTTTCTGAGAGCAAAACCCAGCGTGTATGCTCCTGGTAGGAGCTGCCGCCTCTGCTTCCATTCCAACAGGTATGTGGAGAGAAGGTGCCGCCCTTCACAGCCATGTCCACCCAGAGCCCAAGGAAGCTGGCAGGAACCCTCAAGCAGCACTGGAACTATTTGTAATTTCAGAGGAAATGTCATCTGGATGTGCTTTCTGCTTGAGTGTGACCCTTGGGGGGGGTGGGGTGCACCTCCAGGGCAGCCAGAACACAGGTCCTCCCGAAGTGGAAGGCTGGAGCAGGACCCCAGGCAGCCACACTACCAGGGATCATCAGGGGCAGTTCCTGCAGTCTCAGGCCTGCATGTGCTCCTGTTTTCCTGCCTCGAGCAAGTTCAGTCTCCGGAGATTTTGAATAAGATGAGACCCTCTTGGGGCTGTACCTCAGTGGAAAAGCGCTTGCCTAGCATGTATGGGCATTGGGTTCGATCCTCAGCACTGCATATAAATGAATACATAAAAAATAAAGGTACATCAACAACTAAAAAAAAATAAAAACAAACAAAGACATGTTGTCCATCTACAATTACCAAAACAATAAAATAAAATAAAAAATGACTCTTTAAAAGAAGAAGGAAAAAAAATCCAAGATCCTCTTCTGCAGTACTTTTTCAAGTTCCCCTGATTTATGGCCTGGAGCCTAGGAAGCGACCGACCCCTGGCTGCGTGGAGCTGTTGGGCACCCCTTCTCAGTGCATGCCATCCAAGAGAGGCTGGGATTTGCAGGTCCTTGGCCTCAGCTGGCCCGCAATGGACTGAGACTGGGTGTTTACTGGATGAAAAGGCAGTGGGGCTTGAACTCACACACAAGCTTGGCTCTTGGATGACCCCAGTCATGCAGCCAGCAAGGCTTTGCAGCTGTAGCACCGGTGCTGGCTGCTGGAGAGGGTCCTGGCCCGCGCAGGTACTGTCCCGGGCAGCCCTCCAGAGTTCAGGCTTCATGCCCCCCAATGGTGAAGTCCCGCAGCCAGCGGGAAGGGACTGTGATTTGTGGATGTTCTTTCCCCTCCCTCTGTTAACACCACCCCTTCCCCCAGCTGTAGGGGAAGCTCACTGCAGGAGGGTGCCCTAGTGTCTGAGCTGCCCCCCGGCAGGTAGCTCACTCTGGACCCCTTAACATGTGAGATGCATGTAACGAGCAAGATATTCAGACTGTGTGGGTTAGACACAATGATTTACCCAGCACCTACTTAAAAGCTGGTTTTAATTTTTAAAAATTGAGATTAAGCTGGGCAAAGTAGCACATGCCCGTGATTCTAGCAACTCCAGAGACTGAGTCAGGAGGATCACAAATTCAAAGCCAGCTTCTGCAACTTAGAGAGACCCTGTCTCAAAATAAAAAAAATAAAAAGGGCTGAGATTGTGACTCAGCAGTAAATTGCCCCTGAATTCAGTCTCAGGTACAAAATATATATATATAAATTAGATTAAGTCTCATAAGGTCACTCTACCATTTTAATCATCTCAACCCTCAATTCAGTGGGCTTAGTGTATTAACAGTATAACCATCACCACTAAGCCCAGAACACTGTCACTTCCACAAAAGAAACTTGGTGCCCATGTCCGCTGCCAGCCTTGTCTTCCTGTGGGTGCATGTAGACTGGACGTGGCACATGAAGGGGCCCTTCCTATGGTTGTCCTCAGCGTCGCCTCCCAAGGTCAGCCACACGGCAGCAGCACCTGCTTCTTCTCCACAGCTGACCTGTCCCGGTGTATGAATGGACCCAGTCTGTTCACCCATGTGCCTGTTGATGGGATCTGGGCCACTGTCACCTTGGGCTGCTGTGCATGAGCTGGTGCAGGCATCTGTGTCCAGGTTGTCATGAGAAATGCTGTCATTCTCCGGTGTCTTCCAGGGCTGGGTTTGCAGGGCCGTGGCCCCTGGCTGGCCTTTCTGGGGAGCTGCCAGGCTGTTTCCCACTTCCTGCTGGCCACATGCCAGTTCTGACTTGGCCAAGTCTTCTCTAGCACTTGCTTCTTTCCCGTGTGTGGTGAGGACGTTTACAGGTGTGAGGAGGCGTCTCCCTGTAGTTTTTAGGAAACGCTAAATTTGACCCCAGGCTCCTCCAACGAGCACTTACTGGCTGCTCTCAGAGCCCCCCACCTGCCTCTTGACAGCTCAACATTGGTGTGTCTTCATGTGACTCTCGTAGAGCTGCTTAGGTGTGTGGATCTAGGTTTTCATCAAATTTGGGGATTTTTATCCATCGTTTCTTCAAATATTCTCTTGCTGCTTTCTCCTTGTGGGATATCATACATCCCACAAGTAGGTACCCTCCACAGGAGCCACAGATACCTCAGGATCCATTTGTTTTCTTGTTTCTCCCCCCCACCCCGCCCCTGGGCAATGAACCCAGCCCTTTTTTATTTTTATTTTAAGACAGGTCTCACTAAGTTGCCCAGGCTGGCCTGGGGAGTTGCTGGGACCACAGGTGGGTGCTGCTGCACCTGGCTTCAGTCTCTTTGGGCTCCTCAGACATGATGCCCTCCGTGGCCTGTCTCAAGTCAGGGTGCTTTCTGCAGCCTCCTGGATCTGCCCCGGGGCCCCTGGAGGACGTACTTCATTACTGCATGTTTCAGCCCCAGAGTTTCTGTCACTCCCTCTGTAACATCTATGTCCACTGGTCCTGTGTGTGGCGAGGCAGTATTCTTGCAGTCTCCTCTGTTCACAGTCTCAGCGGGCTTGGGCAGTTTGTTGCAGTTTCTCTCTGCGGAGGCTACACATTTCATTCTTTGTACACCTCCTGAGTTTTCCATAGAACCTTTTAAGAGGCAGGCCTGAACCAGACCCCCAGGGATTTGTTGTAGCTACTGATGTTCAATAACTTTACTGGAATAATTTTTAACGGTCTGTATTTTTGTTCAAAATGTGGCTGCTAACATCTCTGTTCTATCAGCTCCGTGGTCAATGAGTAAGTGGACACAGATTCTTAAATGCCCAGAATGGAAAGCAAAGCAAGCTTTGCACACAGGCTTTGTGTGTGTGTTTATCTCACTCCAACCCATGCCAGACAGTTCACACCACAGTCTTGCCCTCACCTCACCTTCTCCATGTCTGTCCTGATCTCTGCCTTGCCCCCACCTGCTGGCAGTGGGGAGATCAGCCCAAGGAGAGATGAAGGAACTCCTTTGGTCTTTCCTGAGCTTGTGCACCGTCCAGGCTTGAGCATGGTATTCTGGAGTCTCAGGAATTAGCTGGAACAGATTTCTGAGTTCTTATTCCCCAAAGTGCCTCACTCCCCAGCCTGTCCTCCCACACACGCTGCCTAGCTGTGGTTCATCCCAGCTGTGACCCACTGCCTCAGCAGCAATAGCTAAGGCATTGGCCAATAAATATCTTCACTCCACACTGCCTGCTTTGGCACTGGGAGAGTTGCCAGCTATGAGAGATAAAGCCAAGACCTTCAAGCTGGCTTCTGGGAGCCACCAGATAGGTCCAGGTAATGACAGTCACTGGTGCAGGAGGTCCGACTGTAGGGGAGAGGGTTTGCAGGCTGTGTTTCCAGGACCACTGCTAAGCTGGGAGCACAGCAGGAGAGCACAGTCAAAACTGCAAAGCTTCAGACTGGACTGGGCTGGGCTGTTTTGAGTGTTCCGAGGTTGCTGGTTAGTTCCCAGAGTTCAAAAAGAGTTGATTTTAGAATTATCTTACCAGGTTTTTTCCCCATTGTTTTGAGCAACGCCTTGCCCAGATCTCTGGCTGTGTCTCTAAGACGGACCCAAATGTGAATGTGTGCAAGCCTCTCTCCAGCACCTGTTCCAAAGCAAATCCCAGCATGTGTCACTGTTCTCAGGCCACGAGTTAAGGTCAGGTCTCCACTTAACCAGCTCCGCTAGAAAGCCTGAAAGTTCTGCTGTTGGGATTTTGTGAGCTTGGGAATGCGAGAGGAGAAAGCAGCAGGTTCACTGGCGCCTGCCTCTTTTTTCTTGCAGACCCCGTCTCCCAAGAGCGCGGCTCCGTGACCTCTTGGGGCAGCACCTCTGAGCACCGGCCGGCACATGGGGCCATGGCCCTACTCCCGGGGCACGCCGAGCCCCCCAGTTGGCCGCCTGGTGGTGGACCCGCCCCCGCTCGGCACGTCATCATCAACGTCGGCGGCTGCAGGGTTCGCCTGGCCTGGGCCGCGCTGGCGCGCTGTCCCCTCGCGCGCCTCGAGCGCCTGAGCGCCTGCCGAGGCCGCGACGAGCTGCTGCGCGTGTGCGATGATTATGACGTGAGCCGAGACGAGTTCTTCTTCGACAGAAGCCCGTGCGCCTTCCGTGCCATAGTGGCCCTGCTGCACGCCGGCAAGCTGCGGTTGCTGCGTGGACCGTGCGCGCTGGCCTTCCGCGACGAGCTGGCCTACTGGGGCATCGACGAGGCGCGCCTGGAGCGCTGCTGCCTGCGCCGCCTGCGCCGCCGCGAGGAGGAGGCCGCCGAGGCGCGCGCTGTGCAGACTGGGCACGTGGCGCCAGGGAGCCCGGCGCGCGCCCTCGGGCCGGGGCGCCTAGAGCGCAGTCGGCAGCGCCTGCGCGATGTGGTGGACAACCCACATTCCGGGCTGGCGGGCAAGCTCTTCGCCTTTGTCTCCGTGTCCTTCGTGGCCGTCACGGCGGTTGGCCTTTGCCTGAGCACCATGCCGGACATGCGTGCGGAGGAGGAGCGGGTGAGCGTGGTGGGTCGGTGGGGCCACCCTTGGGCAGGGTGGGGCAGGAAGTGCTGGCTGGGGGCAAGCCTAGCATGTGGGAGGTGGCAGCGCTGGCAGCCCTGCCAATCTCAGAACAACATGGGTGGGACACACGCGGGGGTCGGGACAGGACAGGACATAGACGGGTAGAGGGCCCCAAGAGAGCCCTGGTCTTGTTTGTGTACAACCCTCCTGCAGTGGTGGGTGAGGCCACAGGCATCAGACCTTCCTGACCCACTGGGCCGTGAGTGAAGGTCCAGTGGGCAGAATCTGGGCTCTAGGTTAGAGTCAGTTTGGGCATCCATCCCCAGGCCTGATCCATTTTTCTCTGGAGTCTTTCCAACAGCTCAGCCAGGGTGGACTACCTGAAGCTAAAAATATGCAATACCTTAAGGGTCTAGAGAACTGTGTGGTTTGGCCCCAAATTTGGTCATTCCAGGGCAAAGGAATGAGACCTATGTTCTCCTGGGGCAGCAGGGCCAGAGCCAAGTCAGCTTTGTGGGGGGGGGGGGGGGGGGCACTCCATCATATCACAGTAGCTTTCTGCCCCCTTCTTTCTGGCTTGTTGACCAATGGGAGAATTCCAGCACAGAAGAGCTAGGCAGAAGTGTCACTTGTGGGTTAAGCTAAGTTCTCAAGACAAGGCAAGGGCAGATGAAAGACTGCCCTTGCAGTTAGCCTGCATTTGCACACATTGTGCATCATGGAATGTCCTGAAAACATTGTGTAAGGATGGTGTATACCAGGGCAGGTGTCGGGATTAGTAGGGAAGGGACGGTCACTCCTCCTCATGGTGCTTCATTCCTGCAGAGGCTCCTAACCTTCCACCTCTGGTCAGCTGGCCAGAGCCCTTTGGGTGTCCGGGGACAAGTGCTGGAGCCCTCCAGGGGTTAGCTCATTCAGAGAAGCAGGAGAGCTGAATGGAGTAGGAGCGTGGCAGCCTTACTGCAGGCTAGGTTTGCATGTAAATTTTGGACACTGGTTGGCCTGTTTCGTTGATGAGGGTCCCACAACTGAGCTGTCATGTCCAGTCATCTTAACCAAGCCTGAGTTGCTAATTCTGCTTCTAAAAAGATACTGATGGGTTTGTATTTCTAAGTAGCAATTACTCAGTGCAGTATTCAGAAGGGGGAAATCACTTACATAAGACCAGGGAGCGGAGCAGTCAGGGCTGCCTGGGCCAGCAAAGGATCTGGGAGCCCCAACTGCAGATCCTCTCTTAGGCATCTCTGGTCCCCATCACGCCTCTTCAAACTCCCAGACACTATCTTCCTAACTCAGTTTCACATTCAAGAGTGGAGCCTCCATTGTGGGAGGACATGGGGAGAGGCGTCCATGCTGGCAGAGGTGCTGGCCACTGTGGGCTCTTGGAAAGCTGTTTGCCAACGGTCAAGAGCTTGTGACAGACACTTCTGAGAACATCTGTCTTAGGGACATGGGAAGCTACAGGCACTGTGGGCAGGGCTGCAGGTCCCACACCCTTCTAGAATAAGGATGATGTTAGTCAGCTGGACCTGCAAAGCCAGGACAGTGACGGATGCTCATCATTGACAGCACCTGCTAGGAGCCCATCTGGGATCACTGCCTTCCTTCCATAACCCCGAAGCAAATGCCACAGCCTGTCTGACTTAAAACAAGGTTTGTTCTGGTGCAGTCCTGTGGGCCAAAGTTCACAATGGGTGTGCATGGGCCAGAAGCCCAGGTGCCACAGGGTGGTTCCTTCTGCAGGCTGTGGAGAAGCCAGGTCCTTGCAGCCTCCTCCATCACCAGTACACATCCCTGGCCTCCACTTCCACCTGTCTTCTGCTCTGACTGGCCCCAGCTGTCCCCTTAACACTGACCCTTACCACACTGAGCCCAACTGGTGAGCAGGACACTCTTCCATCCTGGGTCCCTTAACTTGGTTACACCCATAAGTCCCTTTTGTCTTGTGAGGTGATGTCTCCCTGGGCTCCAGAATGAGGATGGGGAGGCCTCTGGGGGCTACCCTGGCCTCTAGGTCGAGTGCTAGGGCTCAACCCACATCCTGTCCTGGAAGCCACTTGCCTGCCTACATCAGAGAAGTTCAGCATGCATCTGCCTCCTGGCACCTGGTCCAGGCACCCAGAGGAGGAGGGACATGTGTCACTGCTAGAGAGCAGCCGTGGCCTGGCTGCGGGGATCGGAGGAAGACCTGTGAGTTGGAATTGCACTGTCTCCTGCGAACTCTCACAGTTCAGCTCTGTGCAGCTGTGTGGCAGTTCTCCTGGGCAGCCTTAGGGCTGTTGTTCATAAAGTCCCGTCGACTTACGAGATCTGAGACCTAGAGCAGAGGGCCCACCTGTGCCCAGCACCTGAGCCTGAGGACCAGCTCTCATGCTGCAGGTCAGATCCTTCACTCCGAGATGTCTGGGCAGGAGGGTCTGGAGGAGGGGCCATCTGCTGGGTCATCCCCATCCTGTGGGCTTGTCCCCTGCATCGTGTGCTCTGGAGCTGCACCTAGACCTGCCTGCTGTCCAAGCAGGGCTCAGGCTTGGGGTGACCGCCATGAGTTTTGGATGGAGGACACAGTGTGTCTCTGCCCCCACCTCATGCTGCCATCCAGTGCTGATGGTTGCTTAGGGACCACAACAAAGGTGTCACATGAACACACAGGTGCTGCACAGGCCCTGACTGCAACAACCCTGATGGCTGTGGAATGACCTGGAAGGACTCTCTGTAGTGAGGCCAGGAGGTTGAGGATGCTGCAGGTCCCAGGCACCCCCAGTGGTCAGCGCATGCCAGGGGCTGGCTTCTGGACAAGGTGGGGTCTCAGTGCCACTGGACCATGAAGAGGCGTGGACAGGGCTTCTCACTCCAGCAGGGAGCTGGGAGAGCTCTCCTGTGCGGGGGTGGCTGTGTTGCCTGGGCCCGTGCATACCAGCCTCTGAGAAGAGCCTGTGGCTGCCTAGCTTGCAGTAAGGGGCATTTCTCAAGGTCCACCACTTCCTTTCATGTTCTGACCATCTGGGAGTGTAGGTCGATTTTCCTCTTTAAATTTGCATGATTAACTGAAGGCCAACGTGATTAGTTATGGATTTCACACCTGGGAGTCCAGCTCCTAGGCCCCCCTGAGGATGTGCCTGCAGCACTGTGAGCTGGTGCTGTTTCTGGTGCACACGGCACATGGTGTTTTGTCAGCTTCTGCCTAGAGCGAGATCAGTGCTGTGTCTGAGCTGGGCCACCATCCCCCATGCACAGTGCACCAACTCATGTGTCAGTCACCCCCAGAAGCACCTCATAGACATATCCAGGGTAAAGTCTGACCAGCAGCTGGGCACCCCGTGGCCCAGTCCACTCATTCCCCACCACTTGAGCACTGGTGCCCTCCATCCCACCAGTGTGGGTCTGTATGGTGGGGCCCTGGCTCACCAGCATCCATGAGGTGAGGAGGAATCACACTTCCCAGCTCCTCCCGTCTGTCTTCCTGGGCCCTGCGTGGTCTGTGGGGCCCCTGACCAGCCTCCAGGGCTGTGCACTCCAGCTTGAAGCTTGGATAAAGCTTCTGAGGCTCACCCTGAGCCTTGTGGTAAGCTGCCCTGGACCTACACACGGGGGTGCTCACACTGAGAACCATCTGCTGCCAGGCAGGTATTCTGCAGAACTCAGGATGCTGAGGCAGGAGGATCGCAAGTTCAAGGCCAGCCTAGCAATTCAGTGAGACCCTGTCTCAAAGTAGAGTGAAAAGGGCTGAGATACAACTCACTGGTGCAGCACCTCTAAGTTCATCCCCCCCCCCCCAAAAAAAAAAAAAAGAAGAGAAAGGAAAAAATACTAACATGGTTCGTTTGGAAAAGGCAGACCAAGGCACTCCCATGGGAACCACGGCCTGAGCTTTCCCATCCCAGGCCTGCCTGGTGACAGCCATGGTGCAGTGTGGGCCATGGATGACAGCTATGGCATGGCCACAGCAGGGCCTAGTGGTGGCCATGGTGCTGGGACACTGTGGGGTGACAGCTGTGGGGGTGAAGGCTGTGGTGTGGTGACAGCTGGATGATGGCCACTGCATGGTGGCACTTGTGCTAGGGCTGTGGTGTCAGACCTGCATTCAGGTCTCCACAGGGGGAGGCTCCTTCTCTCTGTGAACTAAGAAGCAGAGCTGGACCCTCGACTCTAGCCTCTCGAGTCGGTTCTCCCAGCTGGTGTTGCCTGATGAATTTATGCTTGGGTGGATTCAGTTCCCTTCTGTCACCCAAAGTGAGTCCGGATGGGCAGCATGGGTCAGCATGGTCTCTCCCAGAGGCTCCCAGCTGCCCTTCCTAGGCGTGGGGACGAAACCTAGTGGGGTGGGGGGCAACCCATGGCCACACATGGGTGCCTCGGGGGTCTGTTGACAAGACTGTGTGGCACTCCTGGGTGGAGCCATCTTCACAGGGGCCCGGGAGGCTGCAGGTGGTGTTTGCACAGAGGAGGGAGAGGCAGACAGTGCCCACACACTGCTGCCCTGCATGCTGGCCCCCTAGGGCCATGCTTGGACCGCTGGAGCACAGAGGGCCGAGGGTACTGGCCAGAGCTCAGGGCACTGCGGGCCCTGCCTGGACAGCCCAGTCAGCCACAGACTCCCCATCCCGTCTCATGGAAAGGGGTTGGGTTGGCTTATCTTCACGTTTGCAGAGACCTGCTCCAAGCATCAGCAGACCAGCAGCACGGCCATGAGTGAATCTGTGCTGCGCATCCTGGAGGGCCTCGGGCCTGGGGTCAGATGTGGTCGCCCACCTTCCTGTTCTGTGAAGTGGGGACCATTCCTCAGGGTGCTGCGAAGTGGGGTGAGCGCACAGCAGGGGCTCAGCCATCCTGCTCCTCTGCAGTCCTCCCCCCTGCAGCTGGCCCCTCCCCCGCAGGAGTCCCCAGTGCTGTGGCAGCCCTGAGTGGCCAGTGTACCATGCTGCCCAGATGGATGTGGGAGGCACAGAAGGCCAGTGCCCACATCCGGGATCACTGCCTGCTTTTGTGGGAGGCCACGTGGGCTCTTGGAAGCAAGGAACAGCTGGAGCTGGTGAGGCTGCTCAGTGCAGGCAAAGAGGAAGCTCTAGGTTGGTTCTCTCTGCTCCCTGCACAGATCTGGCAGGAGGAGGCTAGGAGATCTGTGTTTCTGGTTTTCGCTGTAGTCTGCTGGGAAAATGTATTCACATGCCTAGAATAGAAGCACAGGTTCTTTTCTCCATAACCTATCCAAGATTCTTGGTCTCTCCTCTGTCTCCAAAAGAGGCACAATTGGGCATTGGTTTTGGTGTGTGTGTTCTGATTGCCGCCAGACCCCAAGACAGTCACTTCTCCCTGGAGCTTGGGCTCCTCACCACTCACTTGCAGGTTCTTCAAAGGGATTTGCTTGAATCGTGCCTGAGAATTGGGGACTTGTTTCACCCTCTTTTTTTGGTACTGGGGATTGAACCCAGGGTCACTGAGCCACATCCCCAGAGCTTTTTCTTGTTCATTTTGAGACAGGGTCTCGCTGAGGGGCCGGGATGGCCTTGAACTTTCACGTCTCCTGCCTCCGTTTCACTGCTTCACCCTTTGTCCACAGAGCATGCAAACGCACCATGTGACTGACTGGAGGAGCGGGCGAGGGCCCCTCTGCCTCCCTGCAGGTGGACACAGGCAGCACTGTGGGTGCAGGCAGCTGGTGAGAACCTGAGGGAAGGGTGTCTGCCATCTCACCTTTTCCCGAGTCCTGGACCCTGGGTCGCTGCTCACACCGCACACAGGGTAGGGCTCTTCTGACCAGCTCAGAAAGGCCGGGCCTGGGCCCCTCCTGCTTCTTTGCCTGGCGTTCCTAATGTCAGTGTGGGTCTTCTCTGCCTCCCTGAGCAGCCCACTGTGAGCACGCCCTGGCTGGACCCTGGCGCTGCCCCACCAGCTCCTGGAGAGGAGGAGAGGCCGAGCTGTGAACTAAGAAGCAGAGCTGGACCCTGACTGCAGCCTCTCAAGTCGGTCCTCCCAGCCGGTGTTGCCTGATGAATGTATGCTGGGGTGGATTCAGTTCCCTTAAAAACTGCAGCTTATCTGTCAAAATACTTCAGTCCTATTTAGGGAGGTGATGGGAGGCAATGAAATCATAGACACTTGGAGAAATCCTTCTTCTCCACTTATTCCAGTAAACTCTCAGTAGCTCTTCAACTGCAAGAACCAAGCGGGACAGATGCCTGACCTGAGGGCTGACAAGAATGGGCCCTTCCTGGCCACCCACATCCCCCTCTTCACAAAAGTCTTTCTTCTTCTTACTGCTGGTGGGGCCCAGGAGAGGGGCAGGTGGGGGAGGCAGCACAGCCGTCTGCCCAGGAAGCCACCAGGGAAGGTCCCTTCTCTGTTTCTCTGACCTGGGAAGCCAGGGTGTCCTGAGGACATCATTAGAGTGATCCGCCTCTCATGAAACAAGTGTATACTTAGTAAGGACCCGCACTGGAGCTGCTGTAGGCAAATCCAAACAGCCTGGTGAGCAAGGACAGAAGCTGCTCACACTGGCAGTCCAAAGACACCAGGCAGCTGGGCGCAGTGGCATGGGCCTGTGCTCCCAGCTACTATGGGGGCTGAGGCAGAAGGATCACTTGAGCCCAGGAGTATGAGGCCAGTCTGGGCAACATAGACTCTGTCTTAAACAGAAATGACCAGACACCCAGATACAGTGTGCGGGGGCATTAAGCATGCAGACGACAGCTTTACCAGTCAGACAGGAAAGGGTGGCCATCCCCTGGGTGGTGCAGGGTAGAATTCAGATAAATTTCAGGTCTCTGGGAAACTGTCGAAAACACTAAGTCCATACAGTTAATAAAAGAAGATGTAGGTGAATATATTTGCCCTTTTGGGTGTGGAGGAAATCTTTTTAGGTTTGGTAAGAAAGCCAGAAACCACACAGGAAAATATTTAACGACATAAAAATTAAAAGCTGGTGAACGCCCTCCCCCAGACTTGAGCAGTTGACCGTGATCTAGGAGCAGACCTGCAGCACCCATGGCTCATGGCTGATGTCTGGGGAGGTCTGAGGAGTCGGGAAGCCCTGCCAGGAGGAGCCAGCCCCTGCCCGGCGTGACAAAGCTGTGGGGCCCACGGCAGGTGGTGGAGGAGGCATGTGGCAGTGAGGCCAGCTCCTGCCCACACCTGTGGGGCAGGGCTGGATGCAGGGTCCTCAGGGTTGTGCCCCCCCAGAGCCACGAGTCGCATCCAAGCAGGAGGTCCTGTGTGGGAGCTGATCGGGAGAAATAGCTGCATCTCCTGTCTAGGGTGGGCCCTGACCTGTTGTTTGACCAGGTGAAATCAGAACAGCATTTTTCCATCCAGCTGTGGTCTGTAGTGATAGTAGTCTATTCAGTTCAAACAGGCTCACCTCTGCGAACCAAGAGCTCAGTGCTCTGCGCCGGGCACAGAGCCGACGAGACGTGGAGGGGAGCGGGCACATGGACTTGGTAACAGCTGTGGTCAGCACTGGGTGGAGAACAGTGGCTCAGGATTCTGTGCCATTGTTGGACATGGAGGAAATCCATGGGTGACCTGGAGCCCTGGGGGGCGCCCTGTCCACACTCACAGGAGGCCTCACCATCTGCACCTCCCGGCGGCCTCAGAGCAGGTGAGTAGATGCAGAAGAGCCCCAGGAGGGACAGGGCAAGCCAGGGGTCACCAGCCAGGCTGTGTTGGTTCAATGCATCCCCACAGTAGGACCCCACGGTTCGTGGCAGAGCCTCCAGGGGCCGGCTGGGCTGGGCTGGGGAGGCCAGAAGCCAGGATTGGTCCTGATGAAGTTCATTTCCGTGTCACCAGCACAAAGCACTCGAGGAGGCGTTGGCAGGAGAGGGAGCTGACAAGCCCGCTCAGCGCCGATGATCTGAAAGGAGGGGCGCTGTTATTTCTGAGTAAATGGCTGTTGTGCTATTTTTAAACAGTGGGTTCTCCTGGGTCGATTTTCTATTCCTCTGTTCCTTCTCTGTTTGCAACACCACATCTGATAAGAGCGATAGTTTAAAAAAATAAACCTCATTCAGTTCAAAGCTGAATTGTTATAAATTCATAGTAAAATGAGTTGAATATTTTCTTTCTGGTGCTTAGGGGAGCTAAAGAGGAATTGCACAGAGTCACTAAGGAAAGAGAGGTGCATCTGCTGTCCAGCGTGGGAGCAGCATGGAGCTCAGAACCATAGTCCCAGCCAAAGGCAGACGGCAGGACTGGTGAAGCAACGGGGGGAAGTGTCCGGAGGACACACAGGCGCTCTTCAGAGGGCCGTGGGCAGTGTCAGGATTCAGTCACACGCCAAGCACACTCCACACCCACCAGGGAAGGCACTGGCCTCGGGGCTCTATGAAGCAGCCGCCCGCTAGGTTGGACCCTCGCCAGGGGCCTTTCTGTCTCCTGTTCTGTCTGTGGAGAGATGTGGAGCATGGTGGTGTTCCTGGGCAGGCTGCTGCTGCTGAAGGCTTGACAGCATGGGACAAAGGCAGGGGTGCAGCACCTGGGTGCACTGGCACTCTGAGTACTGGGGTGCGAGTGCCATCCAGGCGTCCTGCTGCTGAGCGCAGACCACCCCACCTTCAGGGAATCAGAGGCCTCTGTTCATTTTCATGAGAGAACACACAGGGCCAGTGTCCACACGAACCTCTGATGGGGCCAGCTCCTGACAGGTCAGCTTTCCAACAGTGGGGTGTCTGTGGTTCCTGGTGAGCCCGCTGCTCCCTCTGCCCCCAGGCATCTCCTACCACCTGCTCTGCCAGCACCTAGCCTTCAGCCTGGCAGAGACCACAGCACAGGGCACCCTCCTGCAGTGCCTGTGAATTTTCTGGTGGCATCAGCTCTGCTAGGCAACGTGTAAGTGGCCTGAGAAAGAAAGCTAGAGCCCCCTAGTCCCACTGCACACAGAGGACACTGCTAGGTGGTGAGGTGGTCTTCCTGCTTTGTTTCTGCCCATGTGGGCAGGAAATAGTTGAGTTGGGCACGGAACCCAGGGCCTTGCATGTGCCAGGCAAGTGCTGTACCACTGAGCCACACCCCAGCCCTCATCACACTATAAACTGAGCTCTGCTGGCCATCCTGCTGGTAACCAGAGCTCGTTGACATGAGAGTGTCGGTGCCCTCTGTCTTCTCTGGTGGCCTTGGTCATGGCTACATTGTTTTGGTAAGACCATAATTTATTCAGCAAGCTTCCCTTTGGTACTGAACATTCAGTTTTTTTGTAAAAAGAAATAAAATGATTGATACTTGGAATTCAGTTAGGGGACGGATTGCCACATCTTCTCTCTTCTTGCTCCCTCAACCCGACTACGGAGACAGTGAGAGAGAGCTCAATGTGCGCGGTGAAGACAGTGCAGGCAAAGGGAACAGGTGCACGTGTCCACACGTTGTGGAAAGGAAGGCAGCAGGACATGGCATGCAGAGGCAGCTGAGGGACACTGAGACTGGGAAGTGAGACCACGAGGAGGTGGCCCAGCACTGCCCACACCCTGCAGGTCCATTCGCCGGGCCCCTCATCGCTGGCTGTGGTGTACAGGACCACAGTAGGCCCCGGGCAAGGACCTGAGCCTACCCCACCAACCCCAGCAGGAGTCCAAAGGCCCTTGTCAGGAACCAGAAAGATCAGCTGTCACTTGGGCCTGACAGAGGCCGAGCTGGCTGGTTGTCCCTTGTGAGACCCTGTGTCCAGCAAGCCCACCCACATCAGAACCTCATGCTTGAGACAGACCCAGAGCCTAGGGGGCTCACTGCAGGGAGCAGGAAGATGCCAGCCGGATGGAGGCCAGGGCTGTGGGCGGAGCTCCGGGAAGGACCTGCACCTGCAGAGGGTGCAGCTCAAAGACCAGGAAGGAGGGAGCCTGGCCCTCCCCGGCAGGCGGGTGCCACGTGCTCAGAGTGCCTCAGAGCCCTCCATCCTAGACTCCTAGTGGCCCCCCACTGAGTGCTCAGCAGCCCTCGCCCCAAGCCTGCAGGGAAGCCTGAGACTTCTAAAGGCTTCCTGGGGAGAGGGAAGAAAGGTGGTCCCACCTGGCAGTGAACAGGCAGAACACCCTTCAGCCCCAGGATCCTGGGGACTGGGGTGGGGACGCTGGTCGTGTTCCCCTCTGGTCTTCGTGTTGGTCACTGGTTGCTCAGCTTGTGGGGCACACACACAACCACACACCAGCCTTCCGTGTTTTCTGTGTGAGGCTCACCTCGGCAGCAGTGCTGACAGCTGACCCAATAGACAACGCCTGCTATTCTGAGTGCAGACTGCTCTCCACCTGTAGTCGTACACCAAGTTATACTTTCAGCCAACCTTGAAGGTAGAAGAAAAGCATTTCCAGATGTGCAAAGATGTCCATGCACCTGCTCTTGGAAGTGGCTGGAGGGTGTGCTTCAATAGCCAGTGGAGTGAAGCAGGGAGAGACGGTGCCTCAGAAGCAGGCACCGTGCCAGGCACAGGGCCCATGCCTTCATCCCAGCAACTCTGGAGGCAACCCAGTGAGACCCCACCTCAAAGTAAAAATAAAAAGGGCTGGGGGTGTAGTGCTCTAGTAAAGTGCCCCTGGGTTCAATCCCCAGTGCTGAAAAACGCCAGCAGGAACAAAAACGCCCGAGTGGGATGTAGGGCTCCGTGGGGGAGCCCTTCCCCGCATGCTCCAGGCCTGGGTCCATCTTTGTACTCCATCGCAGCACAAAAAGAGTAAACCTCAGATCACCCTCAGTGGGAAGCCAGACCAAGGCTGCAGCTGCATGAACATACAGAACCTTCTGGAACAGCAGGCAAGTGGTGTTGGTGAAACCACCCTCCAGGCGGAGACAGGCTCTGTACATGTCAGAGCCCACGAGGCTGTGTCCACAAGTGCGCTCCCCTTTTAGTAAGTCTTTGGGCCCATTTCTGATAGCCCCTGAGAATCCACTTTCTGAAACCGTTCTCAGGTCAGAGGACACACTCTCTGAAGGCTTTTAAAATGTATTTGTGCCAAGTTTGTATGAATGCAATCTGGGTCCTACCTGTGCCACCCTGGGCCCAGGCCCCTGTCTGCTGTCGAGTAGGGAGCAACCCGGCAGTTGGTAATGGCACGTGTCTTCCAGGTGCTCCTGGGGACTCCAGTGTGTGATCACATGATATTCTCAGCAGGTTCGGTTTTGTGTTTGTAACTGTGGGAAAGGCCACTGGAGAGGCTGAGATGTGTTCCACATCTGAACGTGGCTCAGGGATTCTCAGACATGCAGGACAGCAGGGGTACCCTGCCCCCCCACCTCAGCTCAGACACACAGACTCCCTGGGCAGCTGCAGCCTTCAGACTGATCCAAGGGTCAGCGCCATGTAAAGGCCAGACATCCACAGTCAGGGCAGGAGGGAAGCCCTGCCTGCCAGGCCAGGCTCAGTCAGACAGCCCTGTCGGGTCCTGAGGAATCAGGGTCTGCTTTCAGGGAGGATGTTCCAGAAACCCCACCCCCCAGCTAATCACCTATGCAGATACTGGGCCACCCGGCTGCCCCCCATGGTCTCTCCAGCCTTAAGGTTTAGGTGGCTGTGCCAGGTGGCCCAGACGCCTTCTCATGCACAGCTGAGGGTGACCAGTGGGGACTCATTGGACACACATTGGACCCAATGGGTAGGACATCCCAGATCTCCCAGGGACACAGGGTTTGTCCCTTCCCCAACATCATGGAATCAGAGCGGGGGCAGCCATGTTTCCCAGGAAGGCTTTAGGGCAGTGTCCCTGGAGTGGGCTCAGATCCCGTGTGTACAGCCCAAGCAAGCTGCCCAGGAGGTGCAGGGGTAGGGATGCTCAAGAGTGGAGTGCACCCACACCTGTAGATGCCATGTCTTCACAAAGTGTCTGGAGGGCTTCACACACACGGAGTCCAGGTGGCTGGATGTGGGACTCCAGAAGCCCACAGACTTGCCAGAAATCCATCCATGGTCATTGGACTGGGTCAGAGGGCCTTCTGCAGGTAAGAGCACTGCCCCTCCCCTCCTCAGGAAGGCAAGGAACAGTTCCAGCCACGTGGAAGGACGAGATCAACCTGGAACCTACCAGCGGGGTGTGGAAGACACTGACCAGCTTACACACATGGCCCTGAGCTGGCTGTGCCTGGCTCAGAATGAGCTAATTGGAGCACAGAGAAGTCTGTGGGAGCTTGTGGTCTTCTCTGGGCCTCTTGCAGATTACATGATCCATCAGTGCCTGGGTCTGAACATGCAGGATGACCCCTCCCTGTCCTAGGGTCCACAACGGCTGAAACTCCTAGGGCACGTGCTTGTGGTCTGAAAGTGGGGCTGGGTGAGGTGACATGTGCGGGGCTGGTGCTGTGGCTGCTGCGCACGCTGCTCGCTGGGCTGCATTCACTGGGGCTGCGCTCACTGGAGGCTGAGGCAGGAGGATCACTTGAGCCCAGGAATTATAAGCCACACAGATTCCATCTCAAGACAAAAATACTGGGTTGCTGAGCCCAGA